ATTTTCACTTTCCTAAATACTTGTTTACTTAATACTCAGAGAAAGAACATAAAATATGAATGATATGTCTATAACAGTTATGTGTTGGCATATAATACTGGCACTAGCTAAAAATATCTTTTATAAGTATATATATACAGGAGAAATATTTGAGTAAGTAGTAGAAGAGTGTCTGACTGACTATAAATAAATACTTCAAGCTGTTCATTGGTACATCAGTATTTAATTTCTTTATATTTCATGCATATTCATACAATTCATGCACATTTTAATTATTTTGCAGCCTTTTTCTTATCCTAATATAAGCAGCATGTCTTAACATTACTAACAAATGAGAATCTTTAGAAGAATAATTTAAAAATTAAAATTATATTTAAATTGATGATTTACGGGCAAGATGAAAGCATAAGCCTGAAGCAAACTACTGGAATAACTGTTTTGTGTATAAAGAAGGAGGAAAAATTTCTGTATGTGAAAGACAGAATCAGTATTTCTACTAAAAGGCAGATAATTGAAAACATGAGAAATTGAGTTCTCATTCTTCTAAAGGTTTTGTTACTGGGTACAGGATGTACCTGTAATAAAATCAAATAAAATTCCCGAAGCAAAACATTGCTTTGTTTGCTCTAAACCAACCTGCTTGTGTCCAGCCTTCCTACTGACCACCCATTAAAAAAACTCACCCCACAAACCAAAAAAAATCCAACAAAACCCACACAATTTCCCTATTACAAATCTTCAAACAAAAGCAAACAAAGCTTCCCCTCATAAAACCAAACCCTCAGAAAATCTGCCCCCTGGCCCTCACTGTTCCCTCGATGTTATCAATCTAATAAATATAAAAAAATAAAGGTTTCTTTTCTCCCTTAAGTATGAATTCTGCATTCAAAGGGCTTTCAGGATCCCCATTAAAAACACGAGACGTCAACACCACCAAGCAGGATGAGCATCAGAAGGTTTCCCATAGCTGGCACCTGGTGCTCAGCTCCCAGATCTCAAAAGGCTCTCGAGCACTATGCCATACAGAAATGTCCCCCAAAATTCTCTTTGATATCTTTCATTCCCACATATTTTCTAGAAATTGTTTAAGATTCATCAGTACTTAAGAGAAGAACTGAGACACACATCTGAAAGATGATTACATGCACCTATGAAAAAGGGGGCCAAATAAAAAAAATATACTCAATAGGAAAATGACCATGACAGCAAGTGGCATGTCAGAAATAATGTGGCACAAACTCAGAAGTATGAATATTTTTTCCAACTACATTTACCAAATGAATAAAAAGATATATTATATCCCTAGAGATCTTGCTTTATTCTCTTTTCAGATTATCACAGTGCCACCACAGCTACCACCAAGGAACACAGCATTCTTTGTGTCATTTGTAAGAAGCAGTGAACAGGAAAGGGGCAGCAGGACATAGTAAATGAAAAAAGCTGGACTGTGAGGTAAACCTCAGTAGCATGGTGTTGCTACAGTCATCAATCTATTAAAAAGAAATCCATCCCCCAGGTCAATGCCAGTTAATTTTAGGATTCATTGTACTCTTCTGATGGAAGGGGCAAATTCAGCTTTCAAGTCTCACCTCTGAAGGTAACACTGCCCAGTCTGCCTGATTATACAAGGACTGTTTTCTTTTCAAGAAGGGACATTTTTTTTTCCTTAATGTAAGCCTGAAGGCCAAGTAATTTTCAACAGCATTGGTATTGCAGGAGTTTATGGCAATGGGTTAACAGAGAAAGTCAAGGATTCTCATAGTAATTTGCAAATCTTAACTGCAGAACAGGCAAAACCAGTAATTGATTTTGAAAAAACACTGGGAGTTGATTTTATGCTTGTTAAACAGCACTCTAGCAATTATCTTGATCATCAACATCTTAAAATAGTAAAAATTAATTTTGTGCTTAAATTGCTTACATAAAATACAGATGATTTATGTTAATGCTCTAAAATTGTGAAAAACATGGAATATATGACTTTCAGACTTCCATCTTCCCCCTTTGCCTGAAGACTCTCAGTGACAATGCCTCTCACTGACAATGACTCATCTGTTGGCAATGGTTTATTCTTAGCAATTACAGACTTAACATGAATGTTTAAATACCATCAAAAACATTATGATATTTCAAAGCACTTTAATGCAACGTTGGTACAATCTGTGAAATCCAGAGCAGCCACAAGCGAATACCAGATAAAAAAGCTACTTCCACTTTCTGCCTCAGTGTGAATGGGGAGCTCAAACCGGGCAAAGAGCCCCAGGAAAAAGGATCCCAACACCCTTAATTACTCTCTAAAATCCTGGATCTTTTTGGTCCACAAAACCAAAAAAGGCACAACAAAACAACTCTGTCTTTTCATTGCTTTGGGTTTCTTATCTTTCTTTTGTTTGAAGATACTCATCTTCATTCCCTCATGTCCCAGAGAATGAGACAGACACTGTGAGAACACATCCCTTCACACTTTCCTCACATCCCTTCCCCATTTTATTTTCTCCATGGTTGAGCATAACCAGTGCACCAGCACATCATTTCACTCTCTTCACTAAGAAAGCATTTTCTGTTTTGCCTCATATTCTCGTCACTCAGAGCTCTGGTTTAAGGTGTGTTTTTTTTTAAATCACAGTCAGATTGGCTTTTAAAGAAGCTACAACCCTGTTCTACTGAGTTTTCTCCTCAACCGACACATTGTGATGTTTGAACTGGTAAGTTTTGATCAGTAACACTTTGTTTTCAAGCAAACTAGGTAAGTCCTTGGACTGTACCTTAAATCCACAGCTGAGCTGAACTGGAAACAGCTCAATGTGCTCAAGACCAAGTTCCACTGGGTCTTTTCTTTTGTTCCTCACTGTTATTCTTTACCAAGTATTCCAACCTCCATAGCAAAGAAGAAAACCAGAAACTTTGCTTCAAGTGTCTCAGTTGGTAATTCCAGAGCAGTTTCTCATTACATTTTGAATAAGAAGGGGATAAGACAGCTCTGTCCCCTCCTTTTCATTCCATCAATCTTGCACTGGATGTACCAACCAGGCAATCTCAAGCTGAGCTAGCTCAGACTTCTGATCCACCTAAGTCTGTAAATGGGGAAAAGCAAAAAATGAAAAATCATTCGATTCAATGTAGCTGAGAGTGCTGAATGAGGCAATCGGACTGCAAGGCAGAAAATGAGATTAACTTTTAGGAACAAGCTGCAGTGATACTCCTTTAAGAAAAACTCCTTCAATGCAAACACCCATGTTCATTTCTCCATCCTTTGAAGACCATTCCTCTGCCCCAGGGTAATGTGCTTTTGTTGTGGCCATTTGTCTCCTTAAGCAACTTAACCATATGCCACATAAAAGCAAAGGAATTATGATAATTTTGAATTTAAAAAGATTAATTTCTTTCTGTTTTCAAAATACTACTTTGGTGTTATTCCCATTTGTAGCTGGTGTTTTGAAAACTTAAAGTTTGGTATACTCAAAATCCTCGTGGTAAGTGACTGATTTGTTTTGCAAAGTTGTGAACATTAAACACAAGAAATTATTTAGACTTACTTATCATAATATTTATTTATCATAATATTATTTAAATACCTGATTCACTGACAGAACTGCAAATTTAATGGCACAGCAGAAAAAGGTTATCTATTTCTTGATCAATTTATATGAAAAATTAAAATCATAGAATCAACTAGGTTGGAAAAAACCTTTTGAGATCATTGCGTTTCTTCTACTACTTGATTAGAAAATGACCATCTCCTTGTAAATTTAATCTTATTTCCTCCCAGCTTCTTTAAAAATAAACCCAAAATGTACTTCAGCACTTATTTTATTCCATTTATTTCATGACATACCAAATCTGTGCCAAAGTATAAGAAAATAGGATCACTCCAGCTCACACATAATCCCTTTCTCAACAGTGATCTACCTCTCCTTGCTCTCTTTCACCATTCATTGCATGGAATCTTTTCTACTCCTCTGCACAATTTCCAACTCCACCAATATCTGTAGGTGAAACCTTGGGCTCTGGATGAAAAGGGAAGCCTGGGGAGAGAACTGCTTCCCTCCATCACAGATACTGAAAGGGAAAATTGAGAGTAACACTCTACTCTTTCAAGTCTTGGACAATGTGATTCTGACAACCCAAGAAAACCATCTGCCAAGAAAAAAAAGCCGTAAGATTCTTGAAAGCAAAACACTTATTGTTTTCAATAATTTTTAGGGAAGATCAATATGCAGAAATGTGTTTAAAAATTGCACTTAATTAGGTGTATTTCCCACCACATGCAAGTCCGTTAAAAGAACTCTTCCTTTTTCCAAGACACGTAACAGCTAGATTTTGAGGCCAGGAAGGAAAGAACATGTGGGTAAATTAGAAAATGGGAAGAGGAAAAGCATGGGCACACGTGCTGAATGAAGGGAGATAAAATGTCAGATTACAATCAGAGACCAGAAAAGAATGTAAATATTAAGGAATTTGAAGAAATACAGAAGAAACAAAGCACTGTTACCATAAACCATTCCCAACTGATTAGCCAGAAATTGTGGCCTTAGAACCTGACTCTCAAGCCAGGCAATAAAAGAATAATTAACTGCTAGAAAAGTAACAATTACATAAAAAAAGACATTATTTTGCATAAAAACTCTGTAGTTTACTGATTCCAACTAATTCCAAGAACTTCCAGTTTACAACAGAAAAGTTGGGGGGAGGATATAAAAATAAAAATCAAATAATCCAAGTCGCTATTTTTTTTCCCTTAGCTTTCAGTACAACCTCAGTCTCCCCCAAGGTTCGCTAATTTTAACAAGAGGCCTACACCAAATTTTTCATCTGAGTGTAGCACCTCACACACCTCAAACTCTTCTTCTGTTTAGACTAAGACACTTCACATTAAAGCACTTCAATTTCTACAGCAGGTGCTCTGTGACTTGCCTGTGCTTATGCATTCCTTGCAGTTTTAAGATGCAACACATGACTTGTAAGAAATGTTAATTCAACCTGAGAGGACTTAAACCTACCTTTAAACTAGACTCATAGTCTGTGTTCACTTTGAACATAAGCCCAAGTCGCAAATGAATTTCCTTGGCTCGACAAAAGCTGGGATCAACATAAAGCGCCTCCTGAAATGCTTTAATTGCCCTGAAAGAAAAACACAGATTTAAAAAAATGATGTTTTGCTGAAGTATTACTCTACAATCAATGTTTTTTGTAAGGTTAACAAAGTGGATCAGAAAGTATTGTTACAGAAGAAAATACCAAAATAATGGTTTACATGTAATGTTTTTGGTGCATGGCTTTTGATTCTTCAAGGATTGGGTAATTTTGAACTCCAGATATCCTCATGTATTTGAAAGTCTAATCTTTTCTATTAATTTAGAGAAACTAATTTGCTGCATGAAATACACTAACACATCTGATATTTCTGAGAGGGTGACTCACAAATTAGTTACAAAATTAGTGCAAGTTCACCTACAACAGGCAGGTTGCTTTTGATTCCAGCAGTGCAGACTCCCAAGCAGCAGCAGAGGAGAGATCACACACATCTCCCATTGCACCTGCCTGCTCTCCTCTTCCCACTTTCTCCTCCCTTTCCCAGCACCAGTGCCACAAAACGACTCAGATAAATACCAGTTGCTCCATAACTTCCAAATGCAGACATAAAAGCCTGCCAGCTCCTTACACAGTAACTTTCTTTCATATTCCCATGATATGTGAAGATGGCTCTGATTCTATTTCCTTACCTTCAAATCCTCTCTCACTTGTCCCTGTTAATAATGGGACCGTACCAGATAAAACAGAAATGCCATCTAACAACCCCATCTTGGAGCAGAAGCAAAGTGACTCTGAAAAGGACTGCTCTGCCTCTCAGGCCATTGCATAAAACTAGGACAGCTGAAATGCAACTAAAAGATAACAGAATTAAAGTCACAGAGGAATTAAGATAGAAGCTAAGCCTCATTGTTGCCTGAAATCCAATGACAGGTTGAAATAAAATCCCTTCCTGTACACCACTGGTCAGACAACAAGAGAAATCAGAACAAGCCTCACTCAGGGTAGATTTGAGCCGCAGGCCAGAGAACACAATCCCATTGAAGCCCCTGGAACCCTAAAGGTGGATGCCAAGGTGACAGGTGACAGGACAGTCTGTGTGGAGAACTGGACCCAGGGACACAGCAGCACAGGGACAGGGATTAACTACAGTGCTTAAAATCACTCTCTTTAGGCACATTGATTTAATTCCTACTCTTCAAGTACAGTATTATTTATAAGGACAAAAGTTTGGTTAGCAGATACAATGCAAAATTCAAACAAATATTTTTCACAGATTTTTTTACTCAGAACACACATAAATTAACATTTTTTAATCCTTCAGCAAAAACGCTTCTACTCTAAAATTCTTACAGGTTTTTTTTCTCATCTATGGCAAAGCAAACCAAAGGCACAGAACTTCCTCTAGACAAGGCAACTGTATGTACCTGAAGCATTATCTGACTTTTTAAAATAGAACTTAGGAGCAGATAGGCTTAAAAAAAGTATAAAATTTTTATTGTGGAACTGAAGCTTCCTCTACTACTATCCTTCAGGAAGGCTCTCCTTACCCAGTACCCTACTTTTCTGCCAGCACACAGAAAATGAGCAAGTGAAGCGCTGAAGGGACAAACCTGCACCAGAGCTAAGCTCTCTCATCTCATTTAAATTTCCCTGAAATCCTGTGGTGGTGGTGAATCACAAAACTCGTATTTACAGTGAACTCATAACACAGATCCTTGTCTCATGTAGATGATGAACATGAGTACATTCATGTTCATCTTCTACAAAAACAGTGATTAAACTTAAAAGCCAAAGACTGGCCTCATCACTAAGTATCAGCACATATTTTAAGCTAGGTTTTTGCTATGACAGAAGACAGATTTTATTATTGTGTATTTGCATTTCTTCTCAACTCTAATATGGGCACTAGGTATGTTATCCACTGGTATTTAAAATCCATTACCTGTATCTTGTTCAAAGACAATATCCTAAGTCCCAAAAAGGACAAAAACCACTGTCTGTTATTCCAATCAAAGAGAAGACAAAAATTGGGAATGAAGACATAGCAGTTCTATAGCATATCACACAGTGTGACCACACTGATATCCTGTAAACTTCATGCTCCTCATTTAGCCATCCTTGCTTGATCAGAAAATAGTATTTCGGTATTTCCCTGTCATGTCCCCACTGAAAAGATCATCAAAAAGAGGATTTCTAAAAAAGTTTAAGAGAATCTGAGTGCAACAAAAATATTTCTGTAGTCTCTTGCTTACTGAACAGGAAATATTAATCACTGACATTGTTGAGCAATGGAGTAAAACAAAGCCAAAAGTATAATTTAAAACTTTCCAGGACAGTTTTCAAATTTAGTTTGAATGTATACTGTCCTTCATTCAAAAAACCAAGAATGCTGCCTACCCCAGTCTTTCAGAGAAGCACAGCACTGAAAAACCTATAAATTATCATCAGTAGACAACATGAAAGACTATGTCACATTTAGCTCAGAAACTGCTGGTCACAGAGACCAAGCTTTGAGTAAGATTTATCTCTGCATGGACTAAATTAACTAAAAATCAAATTTTACCTTTTACTTAAATTTAGTGTTAATTCCACATTGGTTTTACAATTTGTAGTTTTTTCCAGGATGACATGCATGAATAATAAAAAATAGAAACTACTTCCACTACTGTGAAAAAGGGCATCATCAAAATTTCCTCCATGAAGTGATCTGAAAGAGCATTTTCAACATTTTTTTACCAGTGGTAGGTACTCATGTCTAATTCAATAACTACAACCTCATTTAAATACTCCATAGAATTTTTATAGAATAAAATACTCAAGCTCTGAAAAGACATTTTACTTATTAACTCTTACAGACAGACAAGCAATTTTACATCACAGCTGAATTAATATTGATGTAATTTTGCCTGCAGGAAACACTGAAACAAAATAGCAACGTGCTCACAATTACAGGACACATCAAGAACATGGACCACAGCATAATCTATCTCTGCCTGTTTTCCAGTGCCATGCCCAGAGCTCCAGACTCATTCCCTGGCTATCAAACAGCACCACCTCTGCAGCAGCACTGACACCCATTCCACAGCTGGGCCTCCCAGACACAGCAGAGTCACCTGATTCTTGCACTGATCTTTGTTTACTCTCAAAACAGCTCTAATCCCATTTCTGTTCTCTGTCCAAGCCCACACCCAGAAAGATGAGGGTCTGGAGGATCCAAGGCACCCAAGTTATCCAGATGTTTTCCCTCTAGGCTCTTGTATGGCTTGACCAAAACCAGAAGTGCAGTTATAACCCAACAGCTGGATGAGTCCAGCAGTTTCCTTCAGGGGTGATGGCACAGAGCCTTTCAAGTCACTTGGGAGACTCCTCCACTAATTAACTGCTCTTCATGCACAGACAGGACTCCTCATCTCACTCCTTCAGCAGACTAAACATGCATCAGTCCAAAGGAAAAATTCTCAAATGAAAGGCCAGGAGCTCTCAAACTGCAGAAGAGTCATTTGAATTCAGCAAGAGAGGACTTTCCTTTTGTTCTCTGATGATACTGACACCTGCATGGTGAGATAATGTTGGTTAAGTCTAGTAGAATTTATTGAAATGAAATAAGGATTTTCTCCAAGGATGAGGACATTTCTCTTAACAGGCAGGAAAGGCTATTCTAACACTTAACAAAATGGGAAAGCAGGACTGGAAAACAGACTCTACAGAGAATGAAAAGCACCTCTGGACTTTCATTTTACCAGCTACAGCAATTCAGGAAAAAAAGAAATGACATCTCCAAATCAAGACTGCCAGAATCAATACTGCAGGTATCATCCCACCCACTAATCTATAGAACAATGCCTTCCATTATGAAAGTGAAGAAACCAGGTGAATGATAAATAGATGATTATATTAAACATTTAGTGAACTCTCATAAGACTTTTATTGGATGTTTTTCCTTGAATACACTGTGAATAAAATCATCTTTGTACTAGGCAAAAGAATATAATAAAAGAACATAAATTTAACTATTCAGAAGTTATCACTTTTGTACATTTCAAACAAAACCCATGAAAATCAGAGTGAGCGTACAAAATAAAAAACCTAACATTATTCTAATGTCACTTGATGCAGTTGGAGTGAAACTTACTTTTTTTTGTTCTTACCCTCCTTCAATTTTCTGACCACCTATTCTAAGCCTCACATAATTTCACAGCCTTACTAATGAAAGTGATGTGAGGCTATCATGGAGAAAATTTCTATTTGAACCTCATAATCATAGTCTGAACATAAACAAAGTGTCTATGAAACACTTTTACAGACTTTAACTACAAATCTTCTGTCCAGAGGACTGCAAGACCTGAATGGCAAAATATTTTGAGCAGCAAAGTCTTTAAACAATTCTCTAGAAAAGCAGCTGGGATTAGTTTTCTCCATAGCATTAGCAGAGTTTTCACCAATCCAAGAGTAGATTGCTATGAAATCACAGCAAGATAAGACAATGAAAGGAAAGTTAACTGCCCACTTCATCACTGGTTAATTGCTACAAGTATATGTATTCTACATGTACATTCCCATTTCATATACATGAAAAAATATATATCTATAGACCCAGCCACCTGAAACCTGAGAAATATTTGACAAAGCAGTATCTACAGACTGTGTGTTTAAATTCTTAGTGGCAGTGTGCATTCCTACACACCCTACTATATACTAGACTTTCTGTGTGGAGGAACCTAGTCAGAAGCAGAGATGTTGGTTTTAGATTTCTTTATATCTAGATATTGAACAGATGATGACAGTACTTCTGCTTTAGGAAGGATCAGAGAGTAGGGGGGTCAGGAAGTTCCACTCAGGAATGATTGGTTTTTCACAGCAGTCTCTAGTCATGATGGAGGTGTGGAAAAGGGTCTGGATCATCTCTTGAAGGTCTTTGGCTTTTTTCAGGGTCAGTGCTGTAGGACTGAGTTTTCCATGACACTCAGCTTCTACAGCTGGTGAGGAATCCCTGAACTGAGGAGCCTCAGGGCAAAGAGCCCAAATGGGGCAGTAAGGGTGACTGATCTCAGTCTCCTGTCAGGTTTTCCTGAGGAATCTGGAGCCTTTCTCAGCTGTCCAGCAAATTTCCAGGTGTCTGAAAACACTGAAGGCTGGCCTTGGAGCACCACAGTTAGTACACTGGGATCCACAGGGTGTGAAATTCAATTTCAGGCCACAACATCAGAGCCTGGGCTCCATCTTTTCGTCTTGATGGAAGTCAGCGGAATCAGATGATAAACAAGTCAGGCTCAGAACTTTCAATGAATTGGAGAAAAAATTTGGTATCCAAGCCACTACACCTGGGTGCAGGTATTTCAAAGAAATTAAGGATCGCCTTGGACTAACTGCTGAAATTCTTTAATAATGTTCAATCTGTAAGACAACTATGGAGGGCGTGAATTTATTAAAGTTATGTGAATATCTCATTCTACTGGTTTTCTACTGTAACTGAGAAACAGGGTAACAACAGTAAAAATGAACCAACCACTTACTGCTTGATGATATATGGTGTAAAAGAAGGGAGTACCAAAATTTCACATCCTTCAGACCTGTTTTACTGTAGTTTATTCAATTTATTGAGATGTTACCTTATGGCACATCTTACTATATTAATTGTGAAATTGTGAAATAGGTTTGGTCTGATCACACTATTATGAGGTTCATATATACATTGAGGACTTTGAATTCTTGCGTGAGCAGTTAAACAAAATCACCAACATAAAATGATGTAACAGCTAAGATTTGTACTTATACATATAGAGCTGCAATGCTGCTCTAGTATATAAAAATATGTACAATATTGAATTACAGTGAACTGCATTAAGAGTCTTGGAGCCAATCCAACACATCCTTTTATGAAAGCTGGAAAACCTTTAAAAATAATATCAAATATATGGACAATAATTCTAAAGCTGATCTTATTCCCACTTGCTTTTTTTATTATCCCTGTTTATATGAGACATAGAAAAAAAAAATCCTCAAGTACTTTTCACCCCTTCCTTTTAGGAGGACTATGTACTTGCCTCTTGTTAAAATTTCTAAATATCTGAAGCAGTGGTGTTAAAAAAAAACAGTTCATGGATGAATCAGAATAAATAAACCACCTTAAACAGCCTTGAATACTTGAACAGTCTTCCTCTGCCTGCTAGAAATATCGAGATCCATGTCCTCTAGGAGCATAAACAGATGGAATAAATGCAGCAGGAAGACAGATTAGCATTTCACTCTGGAAGAGGACTCTCCTGCCAACCTGTGAAGGGCCTGTGGAGGATTAAGGTCTTCAAAGAAGAACACCTATTGTAAATGACTTGCCTTCATCTCCAAGTCTATCGTGATTTTGTCACACCTGAACACCAACAGCCCCATATGCCTCTGCTCTTGGCCCCCAAAAATTACAGAGAAGGGCAAAGAAAGGCACTCAAAGGGATTAAAAATCTGAACTGCACACAAAAGTGTAAAATTTTACCTACATTGGATTTTCTTTCTTTAAAAATTCTACCTAACACTTTCATGATACACAATGTCCTTAGCACCACACTATACATAACTTTGTTGTATGAATGAAATGAAAAGTACAATTATTCTAATCAACCTAATAGGAGATAGATCTATGTGCAGTTTTTTAAGTTAGGATGGCAGCTTACACTTATGCTGCCAACAAGTGAAGAAAAATCTAAATTACTTCAAAGCTCTAATTTATAAATACTAAATAGCATGATGGCAAAAGTCTATGTTGAACAGGTGGCTTTTCAAAAAATTAATTAATCTTAATCTATCTCTTTGTCTTATTTATCTTACAGTTTATCTACGATTTTCACAGTGCAAACTGTAACAAGATACAGCTTGTAAGAAATTGTGCACAAAATACTTCTGAATGCTAAATGATGAAGACAAGACTATGTAACAACTAGAATGTTCTGAAACTTGGTAAAATTCAACCAAGTTTCACCACAATCTTAAAACAGTGGATTCTCTGGCTTTCTGAAAACTTTTTTATTCTTCTCTTGTTAATTAGAATGCAACAGAATTGCATGCCCTGTACAATACAACAAAGGAACAACATTCATTTCACCACTATCAATAAAGAAAGCAGTAAGCTGCAAGATAAAATAATCCATGTTTTGAGCTAATAATTTAACCAATTTATTTGAATTTGAAGAATAAAAGTTTATGCATATAATCCTGAGAAAAGCATAAATCTTTTTGCCTTAGAGATACACAGAAACAATTTAAGGCGAGGTGGGGGAGAAATCCTGTTCCCAACCACCAGTCAGTGGTCACTCACTGCATCCAGAACTGCAATCAGGCACACAATGGAACTTTTAGTGATCATTCAAGTACTGAACCCACACTTACTGTACTAACAGCCTCCATACCGAGTGTGAAACAGCACTGACTTAAACACTGCACCTCTCTGACTTTTCCCCCATGAATTAACTCTATCTCCACAGGATTAAACACCAATAAAAGTCTGAGGACCTTTGAACACAACCTCAGTGACTCAGTCCATTCCATTCACCACTCTCAATCACTGAGATAAAGTAAAACCAAAATCCCAACTGAAACCAAATCCTCCCCCCATGCTCAAAAAAGCCCCACTCAGTCCTCAAAGCCCTGACAGAAATTACAACTCTTTTAACCCTGAGTTTTTTCATCAGATTGAAACACTGATTCCATCTGAGCCTATTGCTTCTCATATCCAAATCCGTCACCTAATGCAGCTTTGCCAAAACTTCTGCCTACCAAGCAAAATGAAAACAAGCCCCATTTACCACCTCTCTTCCAAGCAGGTTTTTGTAAGAGGCTTTCCAACAAACCCAGGCCACAGATTATCAAAAATCAAAAATTATCAAAAAAGACTTGACAGGCTTTTATCCCAAAAGAATGACTGTCAAGTCATTCTGCTCCATCCCCACTGCTGAATCATGTTACAGGGAGTGCAAATTCTTCTCTTGAAGTGCTTTCTTTCTCATGAACTGTTGTAGCTGCCTCAAGTATGTTACAGTAATACAGATACTGACCCAGGACAGTAACACCTGCAAACACCTTATCTGTAATAAAATCAAAATTAAATTATTTTACACTCACACTGAACTACATGGATGGGACACCACACAAAATACTGACACTGGCAGCTGATTCCAACTTACCATTGAAAGGCATTGTAATGGAAGTAGACCAAACCAAGGCCATATAAAAAGGCAGCATTCTGTAAAGGAAAGAAACGGTGTTTAAAACCCAGATAAGAGCAAGTTTCCAATATTTTATCCATCCTTTGATATTTAAGTTCCATTATATGACAAATATATTTAAAATTCACCTCAAACAGGAAGATCCAAAAAGAAGAAACAAAAAGATAGGTAGACACAAAAAAAAAAAAAAAAAAAGTGGCTGTTTTGGTACAAGAGTAACCACAATATTCAAGTATTTTTACTGCTCTGTTCTACTTGTACAACAGTAGGGAAGGAAATGATGGAGTAGAAACCTTTGGCAATTTAATATAATGAAAAAAAAATAGTTTATGACCAAGCACCATTTCATAGTCACAATGACTTATACTCACATAAAAGAAAACAAAGATACACACTCTAATTTCAGTATCTAATGTAGAACACTAATTAAACTAATCTGAAAGTATGCTTAAGGATATTTTACTTTTCTGAATACAAAAAAATATAGACCATCAATTTCAAACCTAGAACAATAATATTTTCTCATCATTAATCCAATTTCTATTTCCTATCCCCCCATTTGCAAAAGGTAAAAACCAAACTAAAACAAAAAAAAAAAATTCCCCTTCTGGAAATTAATTTTCCTTCCATCTTCTTTTCATATAAACTATGATTTGCTTCTAAACAGAAATTACTAACAATATTTAATGAATGTTTAACTATCCCATTTCACAAATAATTATTACATATTTCCTAAATTAGGAAAAATAAACAAATTTCTTTTTCTTCTGCAAAACTATGCCACAGCATGGTTGTTTTTTATTGAGCAGAACAATTCCATTATTTACAGGAAACATTGTACATGCTGCCTAGGACACATTTTTAGGCTTTTCTCATATATAATTCTGATTCTGAGAAACTAGGTATGCATCCCAAAGCTCTGACACATGGACAAGACCTGGAATTTCAATTGTTGAAGACTACACTTCAAGATAATCTCTCTGCCACTTATATGCAGTTCTTTAACAACTCAAATTTCTAAGGAGTCCCACAAAAGGAATACTAATTATGGCTTAAATCCAATCCAAATATGAAAGTTATAATCAAGCTTTTCCTACAAAGTAACTGGTAACCAGAAGACAATTCAAAGAGCAGCATTCATCAGTAACAGGATCCAATATGACAATTTCATTATCCCTCATTTGCATCGTCTAAATGCAAATTAAAACCAGGGGAAATTTCAAAGATCCTCTCATGGATGCAGCTGGATCACAGCTTCAGCAACGGACAGCTTCCAGGAAAATGCTGTGGTAGGAGCAGATACTACAGAGAGCAGAGCCCTGGAAGATGTTAACAGGAGGAGTGGAGAGGGAAGTGCATAAACAATAGAAGAGAACACTTTAATACTACCATAAACCCACATTCCTGTTCAACTGAATAAAAGCACAACACGGACATCATAAAGATCAAATATCTCCAATTCCACACTCTGTGTTTTTTACATGTTCTGGCAACAGGAAGATCAGGAAGAAGGCAGGCTCAAAAGCTGAGCACACATAATGCCCTGATCAAAAAGTCATTTTAAGTGAAGAAGGAAGAGAGATTTTCATGTGTGTAACATGGAAGCCTACAAAACACAGCCTCCAGGAGCCTTCACTATTTCAGGCCAGCTTGTTTTTCCGACAGAACTTAACAGGACTGTCCAGTGTCCTCTCTGATAGTTCAAATCTCAGTAAAGTTTAGATCATTGTAGTGACTGAGAACAACAGTGATCACAAAAATCCTTCATCGCCACACTGCAAAATTCAAACAAAAATGTCACACAACTGAGGACTCTTCAATTCACAAAGAATTTTACTTCCTCTTCGGAAACCTATTAGAATTCAGAGTCCAAGAAAGTTAGAGATTCAGAAAAATCTCCCAGATATTTTGATGCTAAGGGTTAACAATAAGCAACTTTCAAGGCACAACAGAACCAAGATGCAAGTGCTTTGTCAAAATGTAACTTATGTATCAAGGTCACATAAAGCTTTCAGATGGTCTTCACAGCACTACAAATAAACCATCACTGTTCTGTCCTTTACTCTGTACCTGGTTTTCCCACTTTTCTCTCATTCTCCTTTGGCCTTAAGTCTTTTAAGACTGACCTTAAAAATATCTTAAGCTTCCATTCTCTTCTCAATAAAAAACAGAGCAAGATTTAATATTTGTACCTGCAATAGTTCACTTCAAATGTAAAGATGCAAATTCTGAAATGTCAATATGGATCATGAATTTATCTGTTCTGAAATACAATAGTTCTAACCATATCTATCACCATATATCAACTGTTTGCTGATAATATTAATATGTGTCCCAATGTGTGGCTGCACTCAAGGCAAGATACACATAAAGTTCATTACTTTTGCAGAATACCACCAAGTTCAAAATGCAGTCAAGTTCCCACTGGCAACAGCCAATATGAAATGCCACCACAGCTAATGGAGACCAGCACCAAGCAGGATCATTACCCAATATCTTCATCTATAAAATGTCCTTTTTAGAATCGCAAGATTCTGTTTACCAGGAACACACCCCCTCTTAAGAAATCAGTTTGCAGTTTCTTCTATTAGTTTGGACAAATTTCTCCTAAAGAATACCATTCCATGTGTTCCAGCAAAATTACTCCTGTAATTTAGTCCCTGCTGTAAATAGCTGTTGAGGTAGAATTTAAGGCCTCTTTTTCTCACCAAATATTTTTCAGTAAGAAGCAGAAAACAAAATTATCTTATTACAGTCTCTTCCTTGAACTTTCTAACAACCCTCAAAATGTATGAAGATCGCATGCTGGCAAAACACATTCTTTGGCTACTAACTTCTAATTTAATTTTTCATGTTATCAGATATCTCTTTTCATTAGAATTTTGAGTGAAAAAAAGATACAAAACCACACAGACTGTGCCTCAAATCTGAAGTTGAATGCTTGAGTTTTTTTCATTCTACAGCCATGCTACAAACACAGATAAATCAGAAATGCTACTTCCAAGATGACATAATTTACATTTTCTACGAACTATCAAAAAATGTTAAAATGTTTCATACCAACCACTAGATGGCTCAAATACCTCTTTCCATTTTCCACGCTTATGCAATTTAAGGAAATTGTCAAGTTGATATTGTGCAGTCTGCTACTTACATGTACTGTATAATGCTGAGCAACATTTCAATTTTATTTTCTAAAAGACTGTGGTATACACATTTTGTTAACAGGTAACTCAGAAAGCAAAAATATATTTGTATGTATCTTTTTATATATCTGGTGTGAATAAGCACATTGAAGACTTTTTGGTCGTTTGTTTTAAGCGATCAAGGGAAAAAAAAATCACCAATGAGAACGACTCCACCCATATCACAGGCCTTTTACTGAAACTCAAATAACTGGTTTACAGGCTCTTTGAAGCAGAAGATGGAAACAGATCCCCAGCATTCCAAGAGTTCTGTTCTCAAGGCATTTTAGGCACACAAAGCCTTTTTCTCCACCTTTCAAGGGTGCAGCCAGCAGGTCCCACAGAAATACATCAACCCAGCCCAGCAGTGACGCTCACCTACAAACACAGGGGCACAAAAATGCTCCTGGTCCTGCCCAACCAGTGGCCACCCCACATTCAGATCACAAAAAACCATCCTGGACTCTCTCTACCAATGTGTGGCTGCCACATCTGGGTCCAGATGTTTTCCACTAGTACTGCACTGATCTGCCACACACAGCTGAGACCCTGCTACAGACTCCAAATTGGTGCTTCATAAACACAGGAATTCACTTAGAAGTTATGCTTGCAAATGAAAATCTGTTCAAAAGGCACATCTAGAAAGTCAGAGAGTAGGAAAAAACATTAAAAACTCAATGCCGTCTAAGGGCAGCATTCAGCCAGGTCTTTTCCATTTAAATATGAAAAGAAACAGTTTTTGCCATAGTTCCCAGCACTGCTGATTCATAAACATTCCCTAACACTGCCTCTCTCATTTGTGCTGACACAATCATCTTCAGAATACTACAGCCAACTGGATGCCAGAAGTAATCTGAATTATTAGTATCTAGGTAAAAAGGAATTTTTAAACTGGATCAGTTTCCCAGGCAAGTTCATTTGTGGACCCCTATTAACAACAGCATCAGCAGATGTAAAAGACTGGTACACAAATAAAAGCTCTTTAAGTCTACACTGCTCCCACCAAAATGTCTGTCAAACCTACAGTGACTTCTCAAACATCACTGAAAGCGCCAAAGTCACGTGTAAATATTTCACTTCAGAGAAAGCAACATCCATGGGTCAGTACAAGGTGGATAAAAACATGAGATCACATCACAGCCTCCTGCCAGCCTTCTTCGTGCAGGTCCTTAACCAGAGGCACACACAGGCAAACACACCAGTTCTTCTATCCATACATATAAATACCTCCAAAGTGGGTGCTGAGAGGATGGTGCCAGACTCTTTTCAATGATGACCAGCAAAAGTACAAGGAGCAATGGGCATAAACTAAAACAAGACAAGTTTCACCCCTGCACAAGGAGGAACTTCTTTCCATGGAGGTGGCAGAGCTCTGGAACAGCTGCCCAGGAGGGAGTGGACTGTCCCTCTCTGGAGACATTCCAGTCCCATCTGGGCACGTTCCTGCGTCACTGCTCTGGGTGACCCTGCCTTGGCAGGGGGATGGACTGGGTGATCTCCAGAGGTCACTCCAACCTGACAATTCTGTGATTCTTTGGGACTCTATGGAGAAAGGCCAGATGTACATAAATAAACCTCTTATTTAATTAGAAAGTTGATATTTAGGCAGAAATCAAGAGTGTATCCCACCATACTATATAATAACCAAAACAGCAGGGAAAAAAGTTCCCATGCAATTGGTTAGTGAAAGAAAAACTATGGAAAAAAGATGACAATCAGCACACTCATGAGAGATCAGTGACTGCTTTTCACTTGCTTACTACTGACAGGAATCAAAACGTCTTTCATGACATATTTAGATTGCCTCCAGCAGGGTCTGACTGTCCAGGAGC